CTATTCATGTTTGTTTACTTAACCGAGCACCATCACTGTTTTATACGGATATATTTATAAAGACAACTTTGGTCAATTTGACCACCACCAACCACGAAAATGACGAATAACGGAAACTCTGTAGTCGACAAACTTCACTTCTCTTATTCTACTCTTTTTTTTTGTATATTTAGTTTAACTAAACATATAAAACATTTGATTACCACCACTTCAACAACAAGGTAATGACCTTATTCGCTGAACCGCTGTTATCCATCTCAGTCTTTTTGTCTGTTCCAAAAACATTTTTTAAGAAAACATTCTAATAGTGAAATGAAAGGAAAAAAAAGAAGAAAAGTAACGTTGTCGTTGTTATAGAATTAATTTTTCTACGGTCTCAATCACACTTCTATATTTGCGCTAACTAATGATTCGAGGTTCCTGGTTTGTTTGGTTTGTTTGTTCGCTAATTGCCTTCTCATTGCAACACAACACACGTTGACAATTGTCATACAGTCTTAGTAACATTAGAAAATTATAATTGATACAACAGTGTAACTTGAAAAATATGCTCTTTTCCAAGCAAATACTGATGCAATTGAATATTTTTCGAAAATTGACTGTCATTTTCATAATACCGCAAGCGAAAAAGCACATCTTTTAAAGACTTTGCAAAAAAAAACATTTTTCAAAAACTTTTTTTGCGTTTTTTGTTTATTGAATACCAAAATTCACGTTTACAACGTTTTTTAAATACAATTTGCTTCTTTTTTTGTCTTTCTCTGTGTAGCAGAAATTTCTTTTCAAATTTTCTCAGCATTCTGAAAGAGCCTCAGTGTTCATCTAACGGCACTTGGCATTTTTGAAAGTTGTTTTAGCAGCAATTACAGGTAACCAAATAAATCCAGAAACATTAAAATTTGGTAGCAAAAATGATAAAGAATCTGCACACAAATACAGTTTGAAATTCCAAAGTTAGTTTAAATTAAGTTATAAATAACTTTTTCCGCATTTTTAATAAAATAAAAAGAAATTTTCTTTAGCTACGTCTGTTTGTATTGGACTTGACACTGTCAGTTCAAATAGACTTTAGCGGAAAGAACTGCTTGAAAAGGATATTTGAGATAAACTCAAATTTTTTCTAAATCCTTAACCTTGCGCAGTACTAAGGAGGATAAAACGAAAACTGGGCGAAAGAAAGGTGGGGAGAGGAGCAGGAAATGAACAGAGGAGAGTAATTTATTACTAATTTGTTGTTATTTTTAAAGTTCCTGTTTCGTTTCGTCAAGTTTCCTAAAAAAATCTTGAGCTTTATATATACCGCTTTATTTTGTACGCCACGATTTATTGAGTAATATGATACTTAAAATTTCTGCATTTTTATCAATTGCAGAAAGAAAAATTCTTCTTTAATTATTATCTATATAAGTTTTTTTTCTATATTTTATACATATAAAAAAGTTCTGCACAAAAAGAACAAAAACGCTTTTTTGTTCTACTTAACCGCCATCGGTTAAAATTACGATCTTAAGCTGTTGTACTAATGCCAAGTTGACTCTGTTGTTTTCAGACTGGTAAAAAAGGATTGAAAATACTGTGTTTCTGCATAAAACCTGTTCTGCGCATTTGTTCTCCTTCTCCTTTTTCGTCTTCGCCTTCGTATTCAGAAATACTCCTTGTTTTTTTTCCATTCTTCACTTCTTTTCCACCAATTTTTTTTTGTCGAAAAAGACGATTAAAGACGATAATTTTGTTATTTGCGACCAAAAAAAATTGCATTGACTTTTCAGGATTTCGAAAAAATGAAGAAAAAACAGAGTAAGATGAGAAGGAATTATTCCTGCAAAAAAAAAAATTTTTTTCTAATTTTTTTTTAATAAGACCTTTTATATCTGTTTTCACTTTTATTCTTCTGAAAATCAGCATAAATCTTTTTTTTTATTCAGTTCTACCTAATTTTTTTTCTCCGCAATATATTTCGTTGACGTATCATTGCGAAGGTGGGAGCAAAAAGCGAGAAAAGAGAAGTGCAAAAAAATTTGCTAAAAAAGTTGGCCATGCAAAAAACGATACGAATATTTGGAAAGAGGAATGAATTATTAGATGATAGCACATCAGCAAAACTATTTTTTGCCAATGTTTAAGCGATTTTGGATTTCATAAAGAGAAAAGGAAAAATAAACTGAAGAACAGCAACTACAACAAATAACACAAAAAACAACTACAAAGAATTTCACTTTTGGTTACTGTTAGTTTCTCCAACTTCACCAGTAATTAAGCACTTGAAAAAAATGCTTTTGTTGTCATCGCTGTCACCACCGTTGTCATCAACACTAATTTCCGCATATTTAAGTTGGCTTATTTTACACATAAACAGTATGAGAAGTAATTTAATAGAATCTAATGCGAACGACAAAATGATTCAAGAAATCAAAAATGCAGTAGTTTCCTCAGCTTCTGCTTCTATTCATTTTTACACCTCTCCATAATTTCTTTTTCTTTCCTCTCTTTTAATTCTTAAAGTCTCTTTTTTGTTCATTTCACACAGGCCTATCGCTGTTAATAGTTATGATATGTCTGAAGTACAACTGGAATCAGTGATCGTATCCAACTTCAGCATTCGTTAATACAATGAAATGCAGTTATCTTCAAGCCACCCGTTTATTAAGATACGATTTTTTTTTTACTCAAAATACAAAATTGTTTTTACTGCTCTGTCTATTTTTTTAAGTTTTTTTAAATTTACAATACAATCAATGAAAACGAAGAATTGTTATCATTTTTATTTTTATTTTTATTTTGGTTTTTATTAATTATTATTATTATTACTGTTATTGTTATTACTATTATTTTTATTTTTATTTTTATTACTACATCTTTTCTCACCAATGGTTACACAGAAAATTTAAATAACAGAAAAACTTTTCCTGTTTCTTCTTCCCTCTTCGTCTTCTCTTTTTATCTCCTCTTCTTTCCCACTCAATTTTCTGCTAAAATCTCCGTATGTCTTATTCCTTAAATGTTGAAAACATAATTATCGACAGTTAAAATGGTCTAAGGTTTTAATTGTTGTTTCAAAATATCCTCTTATCCAGTTTTTTTCACTTTTTTCGAGTAAGAGCTTATTGTTATAAATACATGCAGTTTCTGTTTTGGTCCTTTTTTTTT